TGCTGCTACTGCTGCTGCTACTGCTACTGCTGCTGCTGCTGCTACTGCTGCTGCTGCTACTGCTGCTGCTACTGCTACTGCTGCTGCTGCTACTGCTGCTGCTGCTGCTACTGCTGCTGCTGCTACTGCTACTGCTGCTGCTACTGCTACTGCTGCTGCTGCTACTGCTGCTGCTGCTGCTACTGCTGCTGCTGCTACTGCTACTGCTGCTGCTACTGCTACTGCTGCTGCTGCTGCTGCTGCTGCTGCTGCTACTGCTGCTGCTGCTACTGCTACTGCTGCTGCTACTGCTACTGCTGCTACTGCTACTGCTACTGCTGCTGCTGCTGCTGCTGCTGCTGCTACTGCTGCTGCTGCTGCTACTGCTACTGCTACTCCTTGCACAATGTATATCGGGCAGTGATACGTTTTCCCATCTGTGAGCAGGTAGAGAGGATGAGTGACAGCCCGACTGCCTCGCCCGATCTCAACGCCTCCAACTCGATGCGCAAGAAGAAGCACTGGAGCCGGCAGCTGAGTGTCGTCGGTCACGAGATGAAGGTGATGCTCGTGTGGCTGGAAAGCTTCGAGGACAACGAGACCTTCCCTGCAAGTACGTGGCTGTCTACGATCGAGGCATCCGTTGCCTCCCGTGGGAGTACTCTTAGTTCACGTAGTAACAGTAAAAGGCGAATTTTTGATGAATGAATTTTTATACCAAAAATTTGAATGGTTGTCTGTTCGATATTCACAGATGAAGTGTTGAACTGCGTTAGTTAGAGTGAGAGCATGGTCAAGATTTAAGATGATTATTGTTAAACGTTTAAAATAACAGTATAATATCATCATCGTTATGCGCAGGTAAGCACATGGTATTATATGCTATCACGTTCCCACCAACCAAAATTAACGTGCATGCCACACGCGTCCCCATCGAGGGTAATGACTGCGTGACACACCAGCCAGCACTTCTCATACCCGCACGTGTGCTCCGGTACTCTCTCTGTGTCCAGGGGTAGAAATTAACTTTTGAACAAGGGAGTCCAACGGACTCCCTACCCTATGAAAGAGGGAGTCCACAGCAAAATGAGGGAGTCTGCAGTCTGTTAAATATATTAACAATAACGCATATGCATATTTTGAAGATTCATGCGGTTGCACGTCTGCCAAATTTTCTTTGGGCATTTACTGAAACATGCCGCGAGGTCGTGCTCTGGAACGAACTAGTTAGTATAGCAGAATTTTCAGGGAGTAACACGGACTCCTGCTCATGTAAAATCAGGGAGTCCGACAGTAAATCAGGGAGTATTTGACTCCGGACACCCCCGTTAATTTCGCACCCTGCTGTGTGTGTGCTGCAGGTGAACTGATGGCTGAGCTTAGCAGCCCGGAGGCGGCGCGTCCGTGCGACAAGGACACGTTCCTCATCTTCGTGCACGCACTGCAAAGCGGACTCTTCCGCGTCCACCTGCGTGGCGGCACTAGCAGCTCCGGCAGGTGAGGTCACGCAGGGGTCACACTGACCCACGAAGGTTGTGTAGGTGCACAGGGGCATGCTGACCCACGAAGGTTACATGTAGGGTTAGAGGGGCATGCTGACCCACCGAAAAGGGGTTGTGTAGGGTAGAGGTCACGCTGACCACACGAAGGCGTGGTAAGGGGTAGAGGTGGCATGCTGACACCACGAAGGTCAATGGTAGGGGTAGAGGGGGCACGCTGACCCACGAAGGTCATTGGTAAGGGTTAGAGGTCATGCTGACCACGAAGGTCATGTAGGGTAGAGGGTCACGCTGATCCAGAAGGTCGTGTAGGGATGAGAGGGTCACGCTGATCCGAAGGTCATGTAGGGGTAGAGGGTCACGGCTGGACCACGAAGGTTCGTGTAGGGGTAGAGGGGGCATACTGACCACGAAGGTGTGTAGGGGGCAGCAGGAACAACGCTGACCCAGAAGGTCGTGTAGGGCGAGGGGCACGCTGACCAGCGAAGGTCGTGTTAGGGTAGAGGGCATTGACTGAC